TCTGTGAATCACACTGAACCACCAGAAATGGTTTGACGATCCTGTTCACATCTCCGGAATTTATATAGTTTTCAAAACAGTGATTTTGAACTTCTATACTATTTAGTATATTCTTGTGAGTAACAATCGGATCAGTTCTTTTAACATTCGTCTGTACTCGGCTCTTTCTAACAAGGGGAGCATTTGCAGTGCGCTGCAGTAAACCATGACGAATGATTTCGAATCCCTAATTTTGTAAGCTCAACCGAATAAGGCTCCATTCTAGTCCCGTCCTCCACAATTTCAATATTTTCCGTGAAGTATCCACGGCAACTCAACTATATTGCGCGCCAAAATTGACGTTATTATCATCGAAAGCATTGAAGCTTCACTAGTGTACAACCTTAATTTATTCAAAAGCCTTATACGAAGAAAAGAATAAAACTCGGACAGAGAAGTGACCTAGTCTTAGCTTCGCAAATTCATTCCGAGGTTCCCTCACCTCCAAGCACTCATTCAGACAATCTGGCGAGGAACTGACAACAAGAACGCCCTTGACATTGACCGGTAGTCGTGTCATGCAGTGTTATCATCGGTGTACGGGGGAAACAACGTGGACTCCATCCTGGAGGGCGACGATAGGATGCCATACACGACGTCATCATTGCTAATCTATTGCTCTTCTGATGCAGTTTTCATGTTCCGTAATGACCACTTGAAAAGGCTGACCAGTGTGCGGTTCTCTACTACAGGTGATCAGTCATAACAGTGAATATATGAAAACAGTCATAAAAAGGAAGCAGGTTTCCCAGTTTTCTTGTGCTTAATTTATAGAATCAAGTTGCTTTTCAATGCAAGCGACCGACATGTCACCTTTTGTTCGGCCGAGCCGATTCCTTTTCAAATCTTAGTTCCGAATCGCCGAAAAATACCTAACGAATTGTGGAAATGCTTAAAGCTGTGATCACAAATTTGCAGTTCAACTCACCTGTCGCTGATAAGCATCTAATTAGAGGTTATAACCTGTGTAAGGTATGAACTCGGCACTTCGTGAGTAATTTAGCATCGTGTTCCCTAAATTTTCCTGCGTGATGCACTTTCGTTGTGAACTAATCGTATGGCATGACCTACAAATCGCCGGTGGTGCGAAAGATTTGGAGTATCAGGTGGGTTTAACATTTAAATCGTCCGCTCGTGGCCAAACGGTTAATGTTTCCATCACTAGGCCGTGAGTTCGAAGTATTGATGTAGTACAATTTAAAATTCTGATGAATATCTCGGCTTGAACTTCCTAGCAAATACATTTCTCTGTTATTCGTTTTTGCCTCCTAGCCTCTGCATCCTGAAAGCTAGTACGCAGAATGCTCTCTCAAGGTCACCCGTTCTACTGAACTTGGTCCCTTTTCACTCAACTTACTCTGTCCAATTTCTTAGAACATTTCACCCAAAGCGAAATCTGATTCCATATATTTGCTTTGATACACACATCCCTCCTGATCGGGGTCCCATTTTCTTAGCACAGTTCACCCAAAGCGTAGTATGATTCCATATATTGGATTTGATACACACATCCCTCCTGATCGGGGTTGTGAGGCATGCCGATTTAAAGCGAATGTAAACAAACAAGCATCAGGATATACAAATTTTTCCATTCCTATGCGGTGAGCTGATGATGTGACTGAAATACCTGATATTTTCGCTTTCACAATTCACTGTAAATTCATCATTGTCAATCTCATGTTGTATTAATCAACATGCCTCTACTGTATACGCTATTCGTTATTACACCAGGCACGTTTCTGCAAGGGTTCTATCCATAGAATCTAACACAGTTCAGTATTTTCCGTAGGCGTCCCTTATTTCCCCTAGATAGGACAACACAAATCAACGCACGTCTCCATTATCCTTCTTTTGATTTATTCCCTCCGAAGACCTGGGAGGAGTTGACCATGTGTGCAGTGATGCGTGGACCCGCGGCGATAATTTTTCAGTGAAGATAAACTGCGATAACTACCATTAAGCCTCGTAATGCACTACTCATTAGGTTGCTGAAAATTCGTCGACAGCCCACGACCGGTTTCGCTCTTCTTGGGGCTCATCAGGTAGGCACAGTCCCCGAGGTTCCGTCAACCTTATGATCTACTTGAAACCTGAAAACATCACTAATGGGAGATTAAGCTGGGTTTCAGGTGAGTTTGTCGCAAGACCAAATTAATTTGCAAATGATTGTATTTCGTTACCATTAAGACTGATTTAAGAGACTACAAATGAATCTGAGATATGACTGTGAAACGCTTTTGACACTCGCGTCGTGTCAGTCAATCTGCGGACAACACTCTATCCACCTGTGTTCATATACCGTTCGATTTTCTGCCCTCTGGGTTACCTATGGAGTCTAGTCATCGAGTCGGGACCATTTTCAACTTCTGATGTTCGAACTTCCATGACTTTTAAAAAACTGGATGGATGTGATCGGTACTCATTCCCAAAATGAAGGACTCGCACAGCTTGCAGGCAACTGTTGCCCGAATGAAAACGGTCCTAAGAATTCGTCGCTTTCCTTCCAACGCCGTTTTGTCAAAAGTAATCGACTGTACATTCCAGCGTTTCGGTCTGGGAAATTGGTTTGCTTTCTCCAAGTTCAACAACATTAAAATAAGTGGTACCCTTCATTCAACTCAAACAGAGTGCAGGTTTGCTCAACTCATGGGTTTCTCTGTTCAGTAGTTCCATTCGTGATCGACAACGCGGCATTCAAGAACCTGGGCATCACTCTTGAAAGCTACGTGAATGACACACATCCAGATAAGTGTGCTGTAGGCTAAAAATAAATGAAAAAACAGATCCTTGTGCGCAAGTTCCGATGCAAAAGATTCCTTGACAAGCACTGTTCAGTAAGTAAATGATCTAAGTGGGGCGTTTCGAAACTTTTAATGTCCCGTTTTTAGCAGACTCGAGTACAGAAGTTTTGTTTCCAGTTTTACTTTGACCTGAGGCTTCATCACTGAGCTAAGTCGCCATTTGTGACACATTGTCGAACATTGACTGTGGTACCTGACACAGTACATGGATTGAACTTCACTCTCGCTACGAGCATGTCATTACAGTTGATTCCTTACCGAAATGGGCGATCAAAACTTCCCAGCACCAGCCTGGGATTAGCCGGGAATCGGACAAGTGAACAGACATTCCTAAATAATCCTCTGCATGAGAGACCATGTATTCTAGAAAGCGTGATGAGGAATTTCAAACCGCTCCAAGTTCGCAACACATCGCTTCTAGTCATAAGTCAATGTGCGATTGACAAATCTGTGGTCATCTAATCATACTTTGAGTTCTCCTTCTGTATGACGCACTCATTCTTATTGGTTCACACTAAAGCAGGAAGGCACTGGACTCGAGCATCGTTTTCATCGCACACTCCTGGTCGTGTCAAGATTCAAACCCCGCATGTCTGGAATGCAACGCAAGCGCATGTCGGATATATCTGACTTATCACGTGGTGATAGGCAAACGCATTAACCCTTTCCCAAAGCCTCAAACGATGATTTTAGTACATGCCCTGTCGTGTGAATCGACTGAACCTCTGCCAAGGCATCTTGGTCACGAAAATCTGCCAGAAAAATTATATATATATTGATTTTCTGTGGAATCTATATTCTGACTCAGTGCACGCCAGTCCGAAATTCGATGGTTTTGATCCAGAAATCATTTTTCGATGTGACAAGTCACTTGTTATAGTCTACTCATTTTGTAATGGAAGGGGCAGATGTTAAACGCTATTGTTTCGATGAATTTGATTCCTGTCCCTTTTGCAAAAACAAGACAAAAATATCGCTCACCTGTTAATCCATTAGCGAGATGGCTCAGTGGCTAGGGCGCGAATTTACTGACCGGAAGGTCCGTGGTTCGAACCTGATCTTTGCCTCTCAACTTCCCCTTTCTAGGCTTGGGCAACCTGGCACTATCCCAGGCCTCGTGCTTCCTTCGGGTGGCATGGCAGTTAGGCACCGAAAGGGTGCTACAGCTGGATTTGGCTCCCACCACCGAGATTGAAGATCTATGAACTTTCACATGGTCCGTGTGGTACTACTTTAAGAACAAGGCATTCCCTGTTCACTTATTAGGTTTCACACTAAATATTTTAAAAAAAATTGCCTAAACATTTTCTAGTCGGGTGTGAAAAGTTGCTGGAAATGTTGATTTTCCAGTGAACCTGAGACAAGTCAGTAACCAATCGCATAAAAGTTGTTAGGATTTATCCTTTTCTCGTGAAGCAATCCCGTTGCTGCGCTCCATAACTATCCGGTCAGAGAGGTTTTAGCGAACGGCGATGTTGTCGTAAAAATCAGAATGACCGTTTAATCATTTCACCCACCGTCATAGATACAAATGGTGGTTTTCTCTCAGTGAAAGGTTGCGGCTAACTGGAACCGTTGTTTTTCCAAATACTTTGGAACCTATTACAAGGCCCGTGAAAACTCTGGATAGTCCATCACCGGTTTTGTTCTTGAGATCCACCAGATGGGTCTAGTTCCCTAATTTTCTTGAGCCGTATTTGGACGAATGTGGCGAGCAATACTCATTCCCAAAGACCCAGTTTGTGATGGCGGGAGACCTAACTGAAGTTCCATTGGGGATCCCTCGTCGCACATGTAGCAGGTTGACGGTTCATTTCAAATAGAAAATTTGCGAATCTTTCATCGGTTGAAACTAATCACAGAGTGCATTTCAGTACGTAGGCGATCGGGCGTTGTCTCTGCCTCTGTTTGCTCACTCTGAGATTCCGAATGAACACGTGAATTCCGTCAACAACAAACACCCATATCTGAGTTTTTCGGAGTCTGCCTGGCTGACGTTGGGACAAGCTGAATGGAAAGATGCACAACTGGTCACGTGAAAGAACTTCACCCCGAACTTTGAGCAGCTTTGGTAAACGATACTAGTATTGTTCGCGGTTGTTATAAAACTGGAATCTGAACTGAACTAGAGGAATCAGAGTCCATGTTCGTTGAAAAAACATGCTGTATTTGGCTATACCACTTATTACACTGTTACAGCTAACTGAAGGACATCGAATAGTACGAACAGTATTCAAGGACTGTGGTGAGTTTCCAAGGTCGAATGGTTATCATTCAGGGTGCTCTGTATCATGTAGGGTGAGGTGAAATCTTCTTATCTCCAGTGTTCGTAATCGCTTTATTGATCGGTCCGTTTAGTAAGAGAATCGAGTTTCGGTGGCATCCTTTTTGGCGTGTTAAGACAGATGATGGATAAGGCGTGGCGAATTTTGAAAAATATACAACGGAGTCAGTATTTTTGTCTTTAACTGCCCCAATTTCATGATAGAACTCCAATGGTTACGGTGACCCGATGATAAGGCGTGCGAATTTTGAAAAATATACAACGGAGTCAGTATTTTTGTCTTTAACTGCCCCAATTTCATGATAGAACTCCAATGGTTACGGTGACCCGATAACTGGTTGCATTCATTTGTTTTGAGATCAGGTTGATTCACATTGCTTGACTAAGCAACAAAAATCGAATTTAACTACCTTTCACTCTCGACAACGGACATCCAGCGTCAGAGGTCATCACTTCCATAAAAGTAGTACTATCCGGTATCAGAATAAATGTTTCGGTATAGAAGAACGGAGTGACACACTCTTGAATCAGGAAGTGACGGACGCTTAACAAGACCCCATTTGGTAGTAGAGCTGGTAAGGTAATTTTCGTTAATGCTACGTTAGTCCATTCTCAAGCGTGATGGATCTGGTACATTGGGCAGTTGAACACTATCCAAATGCAAGTTTTCGCGGGTATTAGCATCAGTTTTCATGAAGTTCTGGGCATTACTGACTGATTGGGTGATCTCATTTAGGGCAGTTGTCATTGCTGTCTGGTTAGAGTTACTCGGCGTTGTCGACAAGCCGAAATTCCAGAGCGGAATGTAACTGACCTTGTACTGACTCAGGCTGGGGTGATTTCGACAGGTAGGAAAATTGAAGCGGCCGTGAGATTGGTTGAATGTGTATTTCGGTCCTCTTATTACGATCTCGACAGTCCCGACGGCTACCGACTTGTGCTGACCTAGACAGCGATAACGAGTGGATACAACAAGTGCTTAAAAAGTTCACTTTCGAACTCATTTCTCAGTCCTAATATGCGTGTGGCACGAAGTGACACAACGAACACACAAGTTCATTCCGAGGTAGAATGGTAAACAATGTCCGGTTACGTGGGGTAGGACAGATAGAACACAAAGCTTAGGTGTACTTTGGAACCTTCGAGGTGTATAGTCCGCCCAGTGATCAACGTTTTAAAGAAGTGCCCACCCAACGTATTCAATTGTTTCCTTTCAATTACGGGTGCGTGATTCTTGCTATATATTGAATCGACGTGGCTCGGCATATTCATACAGTGTTTGGGGTCAGTCAGTCAGATGGACAGCAATACACACGTGGAAGAAACTTGTACATAACGAATGCTTCAAGTAGGCTTTCAATCCTCCCTTTCATATAAACTTGACCGCAGCTGCGAATGAGCCTTATAGATCTTGAATCAAAGATAACTTCCTAAGACGTTCTAACTAACGTCAGTGGTGTATTCTCATTTCTAGTGGCTCCCATGTCTGTATAGCGTTGTAAGTTTGCTTGGGTGCCGTAATCGTCGGGGCACTGGTTCGTCGTGAGACAGATGGGGGAGTACACAATCCGTCTAATCGAATTGCGCCTCCTAGACATGATACTGCTAGAACGTCTTTTGTTACTCTTGGTTTCTCCTGGTTAGCACTTGGTTCCATAGGGATTTGCACATCCGGCGAGATCAAAGGGGAGTTCCAGCTATTCAAAGACAATCTGAGAAAGAAGAGTGACATGAAAAGACTGTGTTTACAGCAACGTGGGATCTGGTTATTGGACCTAACGTAAAGGTAATTCGATAAACAACATATGCCCACATGAAGGAAACTACTCACAAGGTTGAGGAAAGCTCTTCAACAGCCCATGACAGGTTTTGCCCTTCCAGTTCGGGCTCATCAGGTAGGCGCAGTCCCCGAGTTTCCATCAACCTTATGTCCTACTTGAACCCAAATTGGACTGTTTTCGAGAAATACACTCTTTGCAGATCATTTTGGTTTTCACGAGAGACTCAACTGAATCTCTCGCTTGTGATATCCTACAACTGAATGTGCTGTACACAGGCCGCCTCATGATTCAGTTGGCACGATATTCGAGATATCGCAGTATGTTTTTATAAAGGAAACTACTCACATGGTTGCTGGAAACTCTCCGATAGCCCACGCGCGAATTTTCAGTGCTGTACAACTACGGGTATAACTACGCCCTTCAGGCCAATTACAAATATCTCCGGAAGTACTTTTACCTTCAAGATGCAATTATTCTCCTACCCGAAGCTGCGTTAAACTCGATAAACCCGAAGGCGACTAAAACCATGTACTAAAGAATGTACTTTCAACTACGATAAGAACATGATAAGCTAAGGCAGTTCCAATATCGGTAAGAATCCAGCTTATTCCAACGCTACACACGTAGTTCTGGGCGCCAGCTAGATATATCCGCTATCGTAAAAATTGCTGCACTATATAAAAGATCCAGTTCTTTGTGTAGTACACTTAGCCTACTTGAGCCAAGTGTTACGTCCCTTCTGGTCTATCTGACCAAGGAAGTCACTGTACATATTCCTCATCGTAATTTCGACTCTCGACTTTTCATATTGGATTTGTAAGTGGGTCCATTCTTTATTCTGCCATGATTTGAGACTATGTTCAATGAGGCTCTGCGTATATTCGAATTGACAGAAATTAATCCAGATGGCGAGATGGCTGAAGTGGTTAGAGAGCAAATTTACTGACTGGAGGGTCCGCGGTTCAAGCCCGACCTCTGCCTCTCGACTTCCCCTGTCTAGACTTAGGCAACCTGGCACTATCGCAGCCCTCGTGCTTCCTTTGGGCAGCTAAGCAACAGAAGGGTGTTGCAGCTGGAGGATTTATTCTTTATTTACTTTATTAATGCAGATGGAGGTTGCCGATGCGAAAGTTTCCTGTCACTAAAAAGCCGTAAACTCTTGAAAATGTACTTTTCGGCAGATGCTGAACACTCTTCACTTTGAAGCCACATTTCTCCTGTCCATATTGAAGAAGCCCTCTTTAGGCACCAGAGCTTGTCAGATGAAGATACCAATTCTGATTTCATCCGAATGCCTGATAATTCCTAGCCCTCTGTCGACAGAAAAACGCTTTCGAAAGAGCTCAAAAGACTCGAATGTCTTTATAAACAGACACCAGGCCTCGAAATGAAAGCACATAGTAAACACCCATTGCATGGAAGTTAACCATATTGCCACAGACAGATCGACCGCTAAACTAATACGATCTACCACAAAGATGAACCTTGTTAGTGGGTCTTGACTTTGTGAACATGTGAATATGAGTGTGAATGTATTCTGGGAGGGACCATTTTGAACATGCTCTTCCTTATTGTATGTGTTGGAGCTTCGTAGGAAAGCGTTTATGCCAATTCTGCAATTAGTATTCTGACAGGAAAGATGTGATAGTGACGTAATAGCAACAAGCTATGACACCATCTTTGTGCCTAGCTGTCACGTCAATCGAAGGAAGCATGAGGGTTGAGATACTGCTAAGTTCTCCAAGTCTAGGCAGAAGCAGTCGAGATCCAAACGTTGGGTTCGAACCACGGATCTTCAGTCGGTCATTGATTTAGGTACTGAGGTTGTACACTGGCCATCACTTACTTCGTCGAGGGCAACAAGTTGTTTTAAAGGATTTCTTCGAGAACTACGATGACGCTGCCAGTCAGTACATTCCTTAGTTTGGAGGTTATTAGGAGGATCGGCTCCGAACGTAACGCTACTACATAACTGCCAATGGAATAACCGTTTCTCGTTGAGACAGATTTCATTGGTTGTTCTTCACTCGTCCTTGACAGATGAGTTGTATTCTTAGTATCACTTTTGACCGCTTGTACGTGACAGTGATCGATAGAGCACCTGGCTCGCACATTCATTGGCTTTTCTGGTTTGGCCAAGCGCACCAGGCGATCAAGCGGCTATCCAGACCGGGCCTCACGGTGATAAAAGGGCATTAAGGGACTGTGGTCCACAACTTGATCGGGTGTAGGTGCTGAGAGCTGCTGTTTTTCAGTCAAGACTTTTTGTTTACATAGGTGACCTACCACCACAGTTGGTTGTTTGATTGCGTGGTTCCATCGAACTTGACGAATAATAATTCGAGAGATACAACATATAATTCAAGAGATGCAATAAACCCTCTCGAAGATTAATACTGCGCTAAATACTCGAGTAACATTCAAAAATCGACAAAATCTACTCACCCTTTCGAGTAAAAGTTCACCAGTATACCCGGCCAACCCAAGTAGATAGGAATATCAGACGGACGGATCAGGGGGGGAGAGAAGCAGATAGGTAAGTAGTGAAAATCAGAAAAAGGGCTCAAATTTCGGTCCACCAAGCCAGTCAACCGTACCAACCATCTGAATGATAAATCACAACCTGAAGTTATTTTTTGCCAACAAAAAGTGTGTAAATTAAAGCGCAGCACTATTCAGCGCGGCCGGCGTAGCGACAGACTATGAGGCAACGTTCATCTAATACGGGGTCATGTTGTCATGTCGACTGGTGGCGAAGTATTCTCAAGTAAAACGTCCAGCTTGATGAAGAGGATAACAGCTGTGAGCGATATAACCCAAAGTCCCGGAATGTACTTACTCGAGTTGTTTTTTTTTCAAAAGTACTGGACATGACAAATGTCCTTCGCAATTAAAAGTACTCTTGACATCATCATTCGAAAGGTCACTGTAAGTAATGTTTTGCGAGGTAGACTAATGCAATTACCGCATGTTCACAAAGGTATGCTGGTTGACAAATGTCTTCGCAATTAAAAGTACTCTTGACATCATCATTCGAAAGGTCACTGTAAGTAATGTTTTGCGAGGTAGACTAATGCAATTACCGCATGTTCACAAAGGTATGCTGGTTGGAACTGGATGATCGGTTGGGAACCATCCCTAACCCCCCTTTAGAAACACGTCAGAAGGAGCAAACTCTTGAAATCGTATAATGTAATCACTTGGCCAGATAAAGCCTGCCAAAATTCATCTAGAGTCCAAGTTGGCACCACATGGAACCTCATAAATAGGGTCTCTAACCAGACGTCGTCAATACAAAACAAATAATAACCGTTCGCATGTGACACCCTTTCGGTGTCTAGCTGCCATGCCATCCAATGGAAGCAGAACGGCTGAGATACTGCCCGGTTGCCCAGGCTTAGATAGGAGCGCTGGAAGTGCCGAGGTTCGGTTCGAACTACGGACTTTCCGGTCACTGAGCTCATACCTTAGCTAGTGAGCCACCTGGCCAGTGCTACCCAACTCTGCGAGGTCCTTTGTCATCTTACATATCATACGATGGCCCAGATCCTCAATAAAAGATTAATTGTGATCCCCTTGCTTACCAAATCATATTGGGACGTGCACTTCCGTGCCGCTTTTCTATGTTTTGTCTCCAGAAGTACTTTTGAGACAAGACCAATTCATGATTTGACCCGGGGTCAATAGTATGTTCACTTGACTCGCTCGAGTAACAGGATCAATAAAAGCATGTGGTGCGGTTAGGTTTTTTTGTCACAACAAAGCCCTGCTCTTTTTTTAACAGAAACTCTACGAAAGCGTTCTCATGGAGAGAGTTCTTTCTTTCAGAGAGAATAATCACAGGTGACAGGCGAATGAAACTAGAACCAAATGTTCGATCTTTAAGTGAATTTCTTAGTTGGATCCATTTAAATGCATAATTAAACGTTACATTATAGGCGATATGCACCAGATCCCCAGATGTCCGATTGGTTCGTGCAGGGTGAGTGTTTGAAACAAATATTGTGAGGCTTTCCTTAAACCATTCTGTTCTTGTTTGTAATTCGGTGTTCTATGTTCTCGGATTTATCTCCAGGCGAGCTGGCTTAGTGGAGCGAGCACGAATTTACTGACCGGAAAGTCCCTGGTTTGAACCCGACCTCCGCCTCTCGACTTCCCCCGTCTAGGCTTGGGCAGCCTGGCAGTATCCCAGCCCTCGTGCTTCCCTTGGGTGGCATGACAGTTAGGCACCGAAAAGATGCTACAGCCGGACGGTTTTTTTTAAAACTATCATTATCAACAGAGAAAACCCCTGACCCTGCCAATATTTTGGTGTTATTCCAGTGTCACACCTTTCATTTACTTCAGCGCATTCCAAAAAGAGAAATTTACTTTCCTATCGCCGAACAACTGCACAGGTGATGATTGAAACTGGACGCAATCAGCTGAATTTGTTGGTGTTTTCCTCTGCTTGGGTTATCAAAACATTCATCTACCTTGGCTTTAGAGACAGAGCCTACTTGATAACTCGTAGGAATTGAGCACACCCGGGTCGCGATTTGAAGGCCGTTCTCGGGCGGGAGCGGGTGGGCAGAATAATTCACTATACATTTACCGGTGCGAAATCAAGGAGGTGTGAACCATGTTTCGCAAAGGCTTCTTTCAAAAGCAACTGGGGAAAATTGCGTGACTTCATCAGTTTTTGACGATAACCAATAGTAGATCCATAGGTCACTAGATGGTATTTAGAAAATTTGGAGGTCTTCTGGTTCTCGGAATGGAATCGCACTGCCAGACAGTGTACAAGATGCAGTCCTTAACTTGCTTCGCTCTGTCATTGTTCATTCTAGTAGTCTGATCTTGGACAGGAATGAGTCTGTCTTTCGAGTGAGAAAAGCAGTCTGATTATGCATGCTTCATCGGTAAACATGCCTCTGTCTTTTTTCCAGGATCCGTTCTTGGTAGAGTAAAACGTGTGGAGGTGAATCCCTGTGACACTAGACCTTGCACTCTGTACAAAAATGAAATGACACAGATCACCATTGGATTCGTAACTGGTAAGTATGGAATAGTTTTTCACTCGTATGTACTGTGCACGTTTTTGGACATGAACCATCCGGTCAGTGGATTCGTGCTCTAGCCACTGAGCCATCTTACCGATAGTAGATGCTCAAATGGAGTGTCTCGGAGCAACCACATGAACAAGTGCATTTTGCATGCTCCCGCGTCACGAAAAATACAGGTGTTTATCCGCCGTCTGAAGTAATCTCCAGGTCCTGACTTGTCTCTCTTTCTTCCGGTTGTTAAACCGTTCGATGAGCTGGACGGTTTGGCTGCAAGCATTTCACGTTGTCATAGAGCAGTGTATCGAATACTGGTGCTGCGTCACCGTTAGGGTGTTAGGCTTTGTCGTGCCTGTGCTTATTGACCAGGACCGGGACTGACCTTTGGTCATGATTGGCCGTTAGGACGGAGCATCTCATTGGTGCACTCATCGGCCCGTTCTCTGATTGGTCGACAGCCACATGGCCTATTAGTAAAGTCTGTGACTCCGCGCTAGCGAACTTTGTCTTGTTGTCACTCTGGTGGTTGCCGCGTGATCCGTCCTTCTGAGAGTCGGCAACCCGTTACTTTTGGTGGTGCCCAAACTCGGTAGATTACTAACTGCTGATTGTGCTTGTAGCAGAACGTCTTGGTTCCATTTCACTATGATCTTCCCGATTCCTAAACCAACTGTGGGCCCTATTTGATCTCCTTGTTTGGAAACTGTTGGTGTAAGAAGGAAGGTCCTTTGCCGCAGAGATGTTTATTAGAAGGCACCAACTAGACTACTACAAACTTGGACAGGACAGGAGACATCCCAAATGCACCTTATTTTTAAAAACGGAGCATCCTCATGCGTTTTCTTGAACGCTCGTGGATATTCATTTACTAACACGCAATTGTAAACGAATGTTGAGAGTCAGTTTCACAGGTTCCGTAATGAACCCCCCCTTCCACTAGACGCTAGGCGGAGTTGCGATAAAACCACATACTACTAACGTGCCTCATCAGTAGTATCCGCCGTTACATCGGTAGTTGGTCACTTCTTCTTAGCCCTGCACTAAGTACTTTCATTCATCTGGATAGTTTTGTTCAGCTTTCCCTACGAAATATGTATCATTATCTTTAATAACGTCCCTTGGTCTTGAAATTAATACCTGAAATGCATCTGGATTGTGAGCTCCAAGGATTCTTTATGTTTTCAGTGGCTTCAGATACGCGTTTAAGGTGCGGTTCGATAGTCCACCAAATTGTTATGTCATTTTATTTTTTCTCGCTATTAGGGAGTATTTCTTCCAAAAGTTCCTGTAATACGNAACGTACCTCATCAGTAGTATCCGCCGTTACATTGGTAGTTGGTCACTTCTTCTTAGCCCTGCACTAAGTACTTTCATTCATCTGGATAGTTTTGTTCAGCTTTCCCTACGAAATATGTATCATTATCTTTAATAACGTCCCTTGGTCTTGAAATTAATACCTGAAATGCATCTGGATTGTGAGCTCCAAGGATTCTTTATGTTTTCAGTGGCTTCAGATACGCGTTTAAGGTGCGGTTCGATAGTCCACCAAATTGTTATGTCATTTTATTTTTTCTCGCTATTAGGGAGTATTTCTTCCAAAAATTCCTGTAATACGATTTCACGAGGGTAACAACTGTTCCTTACTCTTTGTTCCGCTGTACCACCATGTATGTGCTCTGTCCTGAACAGAGTTTGGATGCAACTCCTTTTGGAGTGCATGGCCTTAGTACCGGATAAGTCTCTCCTTTCTCCCGTCGGAAAGAATCGCTCCGCTGTAATACACTTTCGGTACCTAACTGCCGTGCTACCCGAAGGAAGCAGGAGGGCTGGTATACTGTCAGGTTGCTTAGACAGGAGAAGTCGAGAGGTGGTGGTCGGGTTCGAACCACGGACCTTCCGGTCAGCAAACTCGCACTCTAACCGCTGAGTTATCTCGTCTCCGTTGGACACAGGTTTGAATAATCTTGCCGATAACCATTTTAGCTAGTTAATCCTCAAGTGTAGTTCATATGTGTCCTGTCATGTAAACGGTCTCATGGCAACAGCAGTTTTGTTTCCAAGGTTTGGGGTTGAGTGTGGCGTTTAGAAATCGTTCGGAATAATTTATTTCGTGGAATCTCAGACATCAATCAAGTGTTGTATTCTTTCTTGCGGGAATTTTCTCAAACTGTAAGTTGGAACTTCAGCTGATGAGACAACTTTATGGTTTTTTCACCGCACCTCACACTCGGGTGCTTGAGCCCAATGCTTAAACAGCACCATATTTCCACACCGTTTTGAGCATCTGAAATTAATCAGTGACTGGTCCACCGAGGTAGTCACATAGCGGACCTCAGCAGTACTGTACAAAATATGTAAGATCCGGGCGGTTAAGGAACTTACAGGACTACACATCGTTCGTGTTCGGTAGGCAGTAGGAACCGACGCACGATGGCAGTGCTCTCTTGAGAAGTGGTTCTATGAAGAAATGGGTTAACAGACATTATGAATTAAGCAGAACGTACAATCGGTAGAAGCAAATAAGGGACAATGGGGCACCAGGGCTTTCTGAAAGTGATAGCGTTTAAATACCAAATGATACAGAAACGTACAGATACGGGAAGGCTATATACGGAGATGATGGCGCAGAAGGTGGTCAGTACGTTCGGGATCTAACGAAAACTGTCTGCGAAACGGGTATCGGGTGAATTTGGCATAAATTTAGTATAACTGAAGTCTTTAGCCGACAGAGTGACGAAGCAGCGCGCGCAACGTGTCAAATCAGAATGCGCGCTACGGTCAGTTCATAGCAAAGTGCAACAAGTACTATAGGGTAAGATGCCGTAACACAAAAACAGAACTGCCGGAGAAGGCGAGCTTGCCCCCACTAGTTTGATACCTGACGCTTTTCTAGTCCGATCCCCGAGCGACGACCTTTTCTGTTGCAACAGACACTCGAGAAAAGGCGGATTTGAAAACAAATGCAATCAAAGAAGGACAGGCAACAAAATTTTGACCCTTGTAACTAGATAGAAAGTAAACCTCAAGTGGGAGCGGGAACCCGGGAAGTGACGGGGAGGCAAAACGACGTTAATATTCGTTTAGTCGTACTACTCGTGAGTAGTCAGAACAAATGAAAGAAAGAAGCACTGACCACTGTCGATGCGGAAGAACCAATAGCATAGATGTGACGACACACGTGTGAAGCTCAACTGTATACAAAGGATGGATGGTGAGCATCCTAGCCAACTTTGTTGGTACATTAATTGTTTGGTTGTCTTGACGTTGCGTTGAATATCTTCAATCACCTCATCACGTTTTCATTTAGTCTAAGCCTTGTTTTCTTACATTTTACCCATCACAGAGGTGCCAATCGACAACGGAACTGCTGTTGTCCACGGAATCGTAGAGTATATTCCAATTTACTTCCCCTTGGATAATCCGGGCTTGTGTGAGTTCACTAATCCGACGTGTCCTTTGGAACCTTCCGTATCGGAATTCACCTATTCGGTTCACATACCAGTGCTGCCTACCTATCCATCGGTGGGTTTCCCAGACTTCCCAGTTGCATTATACCATCTGATGCCTGTCGCTTGACGAAAGATTCCTTTTTGTTCGCACGTGCTTACCCTAAGTTTGTGCTTCTGAGGGATCGACGGGGTCGAACGATACATGTTCCTGAAGCCGGATAGGATATTTTAAAACGATTGTTGTGGTTAAGAATAGGGATCAAATAATAAAGTTTTGGGGTGAAAAATTGTCCGCCTACGAGATCTTATTGAATTTTTTCCCACCTTTTCATAACTTCGTCGGTAGCTTCAGTCGAAAGAATTCGTTCAAACAGCTGCAGTTCGACCAGCCACTTAGAGTGAATAACACTTCAAAGTATGTTTACGTACCCCTTTTGTCAAGGCATCCCTTGTGAATATTAAACCGCCTCTCTCTAACGAAGACTCATGGGTCTGCGAACGCATCCCCGAGCATTCACTTCAAGTTGCTTGATCTTAGCATGAAATCGATCGGGGGTAGTCATAATAAAAGATTATTGGCTTCGTGGAATTATTGGCTAACAGGGACCCGTTCTCAGAAGATTGACACGCTCAAAAACAGATAATAATACTAGGAAAACTTTCGTAGAAGAAACTACTCACAAGGTTGCTGAAAACTCTTCGGCAACCTTGTGAGTAGTTTCCTTTACGAAAATATACTGTGATATCTCGAACACCGTGCCAACTGAATCATGAGGCGCCCTGTGTGCAACACATTCAGTTGTAGAATATCATAAACGAGAGATTCAGTTGAGTTTCTCGTGAAAACCAAATTGGTTTTCAAATGAGTGTATTTCTTGAATATCAGGAAAACTTAAGTAAAGAGACTTTTATTCACTGACTGCATGCAAGAGCCCAAGACCATGGTCAATAGCTTGTTTTTGGCACATCGGCGTTTGCTGGCCTTTGCGTTTTACTTCACGCGTTTCAACATGCACGCAGTACCATTGTGAGCTTTTGTTGAAATCTGCACTTTCTAACTCTGCGGTTAGTTTGCAGGTCTTCGAAATGCACCCACTGGTGTTCACACATACAGGCCATTTTTACGTCTGTCTTGAACCAAAGAGGGGTGCTTCTGTGCATCGACTAGTCTGTGCGACAGACTAGTGAGAATAGAAGAAAATCTTAGTCAGAAACAGCAAGTCATTGGAAACCAGTTGAAACCAGTTAGAAACTTTCCACAAAGTGATGAGCTACGCCAATAACTAAGGAATCCAGAAGAGAGAATCTATCGGGTCAAAATCATCAATCATCCTTTAGTCACCGTAAAGGGAGATATGTGTCACTGAAGACAGTTTGTATTATTTGTACTACGTCAAGAAACCGGGAAAGTAAAACGAATGATGCTTCCGTTCCGAACCCACCCTTAGTTTGCCAAAGACGATCCATGTGTTGGATCATTGGTTACGTCTTGTGAACTTCAATAAGATTGCTACGTCTTGGAGAAATACACTCATTTGCGAATCGATTTGTTTTATTCACCTGAGGCTCAACTGAATCTTCCGTTTGTGATATTCTGCAACTGAATGTGCTGCACACAGGTCGCCTTATGTTTCAGTTGGCACGATATTCGAGATATCGCAGTATATTTTAATAAAGGAAACTACTCACAGGGTTGCTAAAAACTATTCGACAACTCACGACCGGTTTCGCCCTTCTTGGGGCTCATCAAGTAGGCGCAGTCCCCGAGTTTCCGTCAACCTTATGTGCTACTTGAACCCAAATTAGACTGTTTTCGATAACTACACTCATTTGCAAATCAATTTGGTTTTCACGAGGTGGCCTGTGTGCAGCACACTCAGTTGTAGAAAGTCATAAACAGCGATTCAGTTGAGTCTCTCATGAAAACCAGAATGATTTGCAAATGAGTGTACTTCTCAAAAACAGTCCACTTCGGGTTCAAGTAGAACATAAGCTTGACGGAAACTCGGAGACTTCGCCTACCTGACGAGTCCCAAGCAGGGTTAAAACTGTCATGGGCTGTCGGAGAATTTTCAGCAACCTTGTGAGTTGTTTTTTATGGAAATTGCTACGTCTTGTGAAGTTTTCCTCGTCAGATTACTTGCGGCTGTAGCCAGTGTCTTAGCTCGGACTTGAGAACTGAATCTCTGGAGTATAACTGTTGCTTTGAAGGTAGGTTTTTTTTAAAAACCGAAATGTTTAATGTCACCATTTCTATAAAGCATATGGAGTCCAACAAAGTGCATGTTTCGGGCAAATTTCAGTTGCAAATCAGTGAACAAATATGAACGAAAACAGAACGGAACGAGAACAGAAGTCAGTAATCAGACAACTGAAAGATTGAATAGTAGTCAGGTAACAGGAAAGGTGCTTTGTCTTCGCTACTTGATTGATGTCCAAATTCAATCGAGTTTCTTAAATCAGTCCCTTTCGCGCATACAGCGTGAGATTCGGTAGTCTGATAGTGATTGATTTGGTTGCCTTTAGTGTTAACTGGCCAACTTTTCTCGTCAGTTATCAGAAGCCTGACGAACGGTACTAAGTGAGTGAATTGTTTTAACCCGATGGCCTGTCTCCATTACGATGTTCAGAATCGCTCTTTTGTGCGATTTCTCTTTCCCCATACTGAGAGATTTCGGATAACGCTCCCTTATTCTATGTCTCAGGCGTTCATTTGGCCGATCGATTAACTTTGTGGAGAGCGCGCAAAAAAACCGGTGGCCTACCACTGATGAATCAAGAAGAGACACTTTATCCAAACACACACCTTTGCAAACAAATTTGGTTTTGCGGGACTCACCTGGAACCCAGCGGAATCGCCCAATTTGGGTTCAAGTAGCACATAAGGTTGACGGAAACTCGGGGACTGTGCCTACCCGATGAGATCCAAGAACGGTGAAACCGGTCGTGGACTGTCGAAGAATTTTCAGCAACCTTACGTCTAGAATGTCACTTTGTTTTTGGAGCACTAGTAGACAGTAACACAAAGATATAAGTCGGTTTTGACTTGTTCGAGTGACTATTTTAGTCTATTCGTAACCTTCGACGGCAGACGCTCTGTTTTCCAGAGCTTGTGTTATAGTTCCCAGCTCCTCGTCTAACAAAACTCGTTTTGGCCCTACTCACTTGATGGCGAGCTGCCAAAGTTGTATAACTCGGCCCTGACTCAAAAGGTACATCAAGCTATCCGCTGCCAGACAAGAAATCTCAGAAAGCACTTCACATAGGCGACAAATCCACTTTTAATAAATTCCGAAAAGTTAGTGAAACAGTGTATCTGCAGAGGGACAACGGGAAATTTTTGTCATCAATTTGGCCACTGAAAATATTCGGAATTTCGACTGGACAGCGGTTCCCCCAATTCACCCAACCCCTGTGGAGTTTCTGGACTCCAAAGTCTCGTTACAGAGTTTGAAGTGAGTGAAATATGGCACATCACTCTTCACTCTACACTTTGTTTATTGGACTGATAGTGTGAAGTGTCTCACGGCACTGATAGTGTGAAGTGTTTCACAGTACCGATTTTTTCGCTCAACTTAACTCACTCTTTGTTGACAATGTGGGTTAGGAATGCATGTTACTATAAACCTTGATCCATGTAAAAGGTAACCAGTAGAAAGGTAAACATTTGTCATAATTGGTGAAACCATGGTCATCTGAAAATAGGTAGAGAATAGGCTAATTCATGTTTTTCGAAACAGTTCAGTTTGGGTAAACAACGGTTCGCATCTCTGCTTTGAAGATCCAAATGAATATATGAAATTCACGATGGTCTCACACTAAAATATGACTTGATCATGCTTCGAATACATTGGATCAGTGCAATCTATGATGCTTTTACCTCTCTAAAGTTATAAACCATTGAAATAGAATTTTCATGAACGTTGTGAACTCGAGATTTATGGTGGAAATCATTCAGGGCTTCCCTTGACACCCAATAAATTTTCAAACGAGTGTTTATCACAAAGTGCTTACTAATCTTGTGTCCTGTTGTATTCCACACAAATTTATTTTTTCTGAGACTCTTATTGTTCCTTAAAGCATGAGTGGATGGCGTTGTTACTGGTGCCCTCTACCAACCAGACTCTTTATAACTAGCACTGTGTTCCTCTTCACCCTCAGGAAACCTCGAGGTCAGTTTTGGCCAAACATTGTATTGAAATTCTGGTATATTTCAAACTGTATAACTGGGTGTAGAAGTTACTCAATGGCTTTTCATCTTGGGATGTTTCAACTGTTTCTGTTGTTGCCTGTGGACATAAGGGACTACTCTAACCGTAAAATAGCTTGTATTTAATTCGCACGTATCATACCAATGTATCATGTTATTTCGAACTGCTTTCAAACAGCGAATTCCAAGGTCATTTGGAACATTGCAGCTGTAGTTTGGTTGGAACCAATAAGCACTCGTGGTTGAGGTTCGTCCTTGACTAGAATTTATTGACCAAATTTTAACAGGTTATCGTGTTGCGACAAATATACTCATTTGCAAATCATTTTGCAAAACGAGAGACTCAACTGAATCTCCCGTTTATGATATTCTACAGCTGAATGTGCTGCACACAGGCCGCCTCATGTTTCAGTTGGTACGATTTTCGAGATATCGTTGTATATTTTCCTAAAGGAAACTACTCACAAGGTTGCCGAAAACTCTTCGACAGCCCACGATCGGCTTCGCCCTTCTTGGGGCTCACCAGGTAGGCGCAATCCCCGAGTTTCCGCCAACTTTATGTTCTACTTGAACCCGAATTGGACTGTTTTCGAGAAGTGCACTCATTTGCAAATCAATTCGGTTTTCACGACAGGCTCAACTGAATCTCTCTTTTATGATATTCTACAACTGAATGTGCTGCACACAGGCCGCCTCATGATTCAGTTGGCACGATTTTCGAGATATCGCAGTATATTTTCATAAAGAAAACTACTCACAAGGTTGCTGAAAACTCTTCGACAGCTCACAACCGGTTATCGTGTGGTTCTCACACAGTCACGAACCCTTCAATATGATGACCCATGCTCACTAAAGCAGAATGAGGGAAAGTCAAAAAGAAACCCGATTTTCAAGACAGGTTTGGTACACAATCAAAGCGATGACTACACAGTTGGTGCCAAACGTTTTCCAGTTGATTAGAAACTCATTTTTCTCTAAAACCCATTTTTCTCTAAAACTGCGTCTGGGTAAAAACCTGACCTATCAGCTATGACCATTCTCAGGTTAAACGAGTGACGGGGGCGCGCAGTGTCACGCTTTCTGTGGTTGTGACATGAGCAATTCACTGGGATAACGGCATCATAACTAAGTTAGATTTGACCAGTGATAAAGTTTCTGTTATACAAATCGAGGTGGGATCTGATGACAACACAGTCCTCGACGTTCGACCGAATTGTGTCTGAGCCGCCTAAGGTCGATGGCGTGGAATGTGATCACGCTTTGGGTTCCAACACCTAAGCTGACCAAACCGAACGGAGTTAAAACAGTAGACGTGCAAAACATACAGAAGACGTGAATTTAAAAGGACACTACTGGCCTTTAGATCAAACTACTACAAAACATTTGGTATTCCAGTATTCGTAAGCAACATGCTCGGTTGATGAACGGGACTGCCCCTTGATTCCATTTTTCGGTGTCTCAGTTAAAAAGATATTGTCTTCTATACAGGTGGGTGTGACATTGAAATTTCATGCCTAGACATTTTCAGTGTTCATGATGAGCCAAGCGAATTCGAATTCGTCTTAGCAAGAAAGTCACGTGACCCATATGGATTAGTGTGGCCAAAACAGACCAGCGTAGCCCTACTCGTGCACTGTCGATTTCGCGACCAGGATCGCGGGTCAGTTCATATCTTGTGCCCGCCTCAGTTGACTGGTATGTTCTTCTCAACACGCAGACCCATCAAGAAAGTTTGTGTATTCTCAGACTTCCGGATGCGGAGGTCTCCAAAATCTTCCGTACACAAAGTGGTGCTAGTCATGGATGCTCACTTTCTCCATTCCCGTTTAATTTCGTGATCGATGAAATAATGGAACGAACGCTCAAAGGTCTCCAAAATCCGGTGTTCACATAGCCTGTGACGAAAACCTTGTCGGTCTGGAATATGCAGAGAATGTCGTTCTCGTCTAAGAAGAGGAGGTGAAGGCGCAGGTGTTTGGATGAACTGACCAAGGTCCTTTGGTATGCACTTTTCATCCACAAAGTGTTTGGTCATGCTCCTGGACATGCGGTCACTGGACACGCCACTTTCAATCCAGGGAGTGCGCAGGAAGTTGCCGAGCCTTTCACGCATTTTAGACGTTGTATTAGTTCCATTTGTAGTTTGACAGATGTGGTCAATGCACGAATCTGAAGGCTCGAGTTTCGTTTGCTAATTTGAAGTGCCTGTGGCGTCAAGGCGGTATGTCACTGAATCTCAAGGGACGTGTTTATCAGGCCATATTACGGGTTATTTTCTCGTACGGCTAAGACATGGCCTGTTCGAGCAGCGGAACTGAGACGTCTTCAGGGTTCGACAATTGTCTCGGGATCATAGCTCATGTGGGTTGGTATCGGAGAATCCGCAATGAGGCGATTAGAAAGCGAGTTTTCGGTTGTGCAGCAGGAACTGCCGTTGATGAATACATGCAGCGCTAGAAGCTGAGTTGGTGAGGTCATGTATTGCATATACTGAAGCATCGTTTGCCGAAGAGAGTGCTGTGTTCTGCGCCCAATGCAGAGTGGCGGAAGCGTAGATGTGACCAACCCTTGACCTGGCAGAGGAGTATGAAAGCGATTGCAAAATGTTTGCATGCTGTCGGTGCTACTCGCCTTCCAGGATGGGGCCTGCGAGATCCCTGAATGCGTGCCTGGAGGTGTAGGCACATCAGGAATGATTGTAGTGAGCTAGCACCACCCACCTTTATTCTTTCCTTCACAATAAGGCTTTCAAATAAGTCATGGTTATACGGCAGCGAATCATCCGTGTTGAACACTGATGTCATGGTGTCCATGCTTTCGATGATGATGATGATGATGATGATGATGATGATGATGATGATGCCTGTTCATGCTAGAGACACCTACGCGCCTGATAAATGCAACGATCATAGTGCATGAAGTTGCAATATGGCAATTCGTTTCTGCATGATACTTGGGATTTCCTACATCGTAACACCTCTGACGAATACTGCAGATTTCATGGTTAAATAAGTTTACTAATAATAATGTATTCTAATGCATTAATTTCCATCACTGGCATTGTTCAAATGTTGGTAGTTTGGGTGCATTGCTTGCTAACTGATCAGGTGGCTGTTGATCTGTTTTCTGAGCTTGGCAAGTGACCTGCATATCTTTCGTCACTATTCGAGGAGAAGAAATCAGTTCGTTGTGAGGCCCTTGCAAGCGAGTTTCCAAGCTCGGCGAGTTGATCGACAGCCACCCAGCCAACTGCAGTTTTATTCAGTGTATCATCAACATTTCTTAGTATCCCACGAATCGGCTGTTTTCTGTGTGTGACCTTGACATGGTGATGACTTTTTTCGTTTGCGAGGTTTTCAGGAAGTCAAATTAGCTCGGCTTTGACGAAACTGAGATCCACTATTTCTATCCTGATCCGAACTTCTTTCCGTGACGAACCGATTACCTTGGGCCTCTCCGACGACTATGAATGGGAGTTTTGCTTCAGTAGCACCACAGCAGAGACATTCTTCCGACAAATTTGTTGATCACAAACACCGCTTGTCACAGCATGTATTCTGTTAGGAAACCAAAATTCGCCTGGAGGTTTTCTTTGGGCCAGCTCAGTAGAAAAATTAAGCCAAGACAGGAAGGGGACTGTCCAAACGAAAGTGATATGAACGCAAGTCCCACACTCACCTACAACTAAACACAAAATTATCTATGGAGGAAACTACTCGCAAGGTTGCTGAAAACCCTTCGACAGCCCACGACCGGTTTCTTTCACCTTGGGGCTCATCGGGTAGGCGCAGTGTCCGAGTTTCCGTCAACATTATGATCTACTTGAACCCGAATTGCACTGTTTTTGTCTACCTGATGAACCCCAAGGAGGACTAAGATGGTCGTGGGCTGTCGAAGAGTTTTCAGCAAACTTGTGAGTAGTTTCCTTTACGAAAATATACTGTAATCTCTCGAATATCGTGCCAAATGAATAATGAGGCGGCCTGTGTGCAGCACATTCAGCTGGAGGACAGCAAAAACGAGAGATTCAATTGAGTCTCCCGTGAAAACCAAATTGATTTGCAAATGAATGTATTTCACAAAATTATCCAGTTCATATTGTGCACGCCACGAGACGGAAAATCTCGGTTAGATAGGCGTCGTCATCTCTTTCAGAAAACTTATTTTCCCGCATGACTCATGCCCACATGTTTGAATCTGACTAGCTCGCCAAGGCTAACTCGGTTGCCTGCAGAAAACAATAAACAACCCTGCTCCTTGCATCGGCATGGGGGATCTATTCGTAGGTCATTGTGGTTAGAGTTCTGCGGACATCGTCACAGCTGTTACCACTGGTTCTCNATGACTTCCATGATCAATTTAGTTCTTGTGAGCTATATCACCGGATGAACGCACATCTGGCGGTGCTAACGTGTCTCAGGTACGGTACCATACTAAGGAGGACAGTTTGAACTTTATGTCTCCAGTAGAAAGCAGGGGTGTGTCCGCTCTCAGAGGTCGAGGTAAAACAAACTTGGGACACACACTTTAATGCAGTTAACTGCTCATCGTTCACGGAAGTCAGTCTGACTTCAGCTATTGGATGACAGGGCTAAATTGGATCTTTTTGAAACGTGACAGACGTGCATTCGATGACTGACCTTCAAACTTTGTTGTCAAAATCTAGTGGTGCACCCGTAAGCATGTCTGGATACCAACTCAGGTTATATATTCACTTTTCGGAAATAGGTTAACTTTTTGTGTTTTTTCTCACCTTGAACTCTATTTGATCCTCAGTGAATGGACAATAAAGAAGGAGGAACGGTCCTAAGTATCTAAATGCCGAACTCGTTACCGAATTTCCCATACCCAGAGCGTGTGTGCTTGAACTTTTCCCTGGCGCTGAAGGCAATCTGCTGTCACTTGTCATCCTTTGGTGTGTATCCCCATGGGCGGTCTAACTAGCTACCCACAGACTGACCGCTGATTATGGTAAATTCCCTATCTTGGCAAGCTGACACTCACTTATCCAACCAAATGACAATTAATTTGCCTCGTATTCATGTGTCGCTGAGACGCATCGAAATTTCGCCCGAGTTCGATAACCGAACCTGGGTGGAATTGATCTGGCCTGTCGATGTTTCCGCTGATTTTTAACACTCTTTTTGACTGTTACACGTAAAGGTTCGCGAGTTGAGACGCATGTGATCTATGAAAGTGCCTTCAGAAAACAACATCTGAAAAGTTCACCGGCTTCATAATTTTATAAAGGTACTGTTAATCTCAAATGATACTCGTTGACGGTTGGGCCGAACCATCTAGATTACACCTCTGAGGATTGCGAACACTTTGGTGTTCCTGATGTTACCGCGTTAATTCCTGAGCTAGACAGCTGGGGCCACAAAACTTGATCTCATGGAGTGATCGGGTTCACGATACATGTAGTGTTGACTGGAACCATTAGACCAAGCAGCATTCACTGGCATCACACCCAAGAAGTGGGACAGGCTCTTCACACAGAAGGGTTAGTTATTAGTCTTATTCTAACGAAGAGCATCGAAGGTACCTATTATAGTCAACGTTACATTTTGAACACCCTGGTCCATCAGAGCCAAACAAAAACCGAGTGCCATATTGCTCTTATTTTTTAGTTTTTGGGAAAAGATTATCCTTAATAGGCGCTTTACCCGCCAACTCAAGGTAACGCTGATGTGTACTCAGCAGTCATTTCCTGTGACCGCTTAGATCTGTCACCTAGATTCGAGACAGCACAGATAACGACGCGTGCCAAACTTGTGCGCAGGCGCGACAGACGCTGGCGAAAAATAGGCGATGGTGTGACAAACAGACGCTGTCAGCCAGTCAGACGAGTGTAGTCCGATAAGTCACGTGCACGTGTGATGCGATCGTTGGGGCGCTCTTTAGCAGCTGAATTCACGGATCACGACCGGAAGTCTTATTTTGGGGAAACAGGTGTGGACCGCCTATACTCAGTTAACGCTTGTCAAAGTACAATGCGGCCATAAAACGGGGTGTCATTTTGAAGCAGTTCAAGCCTTTTACACCGCACTCGGCTTACACTTATCTTGAGAACACTCACGATAGCCACGGTTAAATTCAGAAATAAGAAATGGGTTTGAGATGGAATAAACTTGTTTTTCGAAATGTAACTGGCCGACGGGACCAAAATGGTAGGATAAACCAACTGGACCCATCAAATCAAACATACGATTAGCGGCGTCAGTAAAATATTACTAATGCTACAACCGCTACTACTTACTATCGGTAATAAGTAATAATAGGAATAATAATAATAATGGGGGAAGGAGTTAGTTCAGGGAATTTAAGAAAATTTGACATCCAACAAAAAGTACGTAATACCATTTGCGACAAATATTTGAAAATTTATTCAGAGTTCTTCCCCAGTGGAGTTTCCTAAAACTTTCACAAAGTTTTCCCCTTAAACATCAAAGTGAAATTAAGCTCGCAGCCAATATTCAAGAGCCATTGTGTTACACCATCAGTGAGGAAGTCTACAAAAAGCATAATCAATGAATGTACTACTCTGAAAATTCTTCGACAGCCTAACTTATAAGGAGTCTCTTAGGTCAATACATGTATTGCAATGTCTCGAATATCGTACTAACATGAGGCGACCCGGTGTAGCACATCCAGTTGAAGAAAAAACATTATAATCAGGGGATTTAGCTGGATTCAGTTGAGTCTCCCGTCAAGACTAAATTCGAATGGAAACTAGAGAGTATTTGATGAAATTGTTAAGGACATTCGTTCTTGGTTTGAGGGCTTTGGCTAATTTTAACCGTACTGACAACTATACCAAACTAACGACTATGTTGAATCAAGTCCATTTACTTAGCTTGTATTGACCGCAAAAACCAGTGGTTAGACCAACCG